CTGCAGCGGTGGCAGCCACGTGCCCTGCGCGTTCTGGCACCACCACCGTGCTCGGGCTCCCTCTGTGTGTAGCAACGTCCCTCTTCTACCAGTAAACTTGAAGCTTTGTATTGACAAAAAGGAGAAAAAGGAAAAAAAAAAAAGATAATTGCCATATTTAATTTCCCTGGTTATTAGTGCGTGCCTATCTCGTGTGTTTGATCTTTGCATCACTACTAGAAGCAAGAGCAGCCCCACGTGAGCAGGGGGCACCGTGTGGGGCTGGGGCCTCTTGGCTCGGTGCAGGGACACGGGTCCCTGGCCACCTCCATGGTCACCCGGGTGTGGGTCTGCAATGGGACCAGGACGGTGCCAGCCTATAGCCACACTTAGCACTGCCTATACGCACACTTAGCCCAGCGCACTTACATGCTCCATGTGTGCAACCAAGTGGCCGGCCGGCGGGACATCGACCCCAAGGGGACCCAGGTTTGTTACCAAACGGCTGGATCTGTCCCTTGGAGCTGCCACCATGAGCTGCACTTCCAGGAAGCCTGGACAGACTCTGGAATCCGTGAGGAGCTCAGGGAATTGTTCTTTTCCTGCATCAGGTGGTTTTGGCCACCGTGTCCGAACTGATGCTCTAGAAGCATTTCCCAGGAAAAGGGCTTTCAGCGAACGTGGGATTCCAAGTGCTGAGAGGGAGGTTGGAGCCGAGCCGCTTCCCTCTTCCAAAATCATCTATTACCCCCTTACCCGGGAAGCAAACACCCCTCGTGGTTGGTTGTAAGACGTTTTGCAAAGCACCTCTCCCCCCGGCCCCGCAGCCCCCGCTCCCTCCGCGGGAGCTGCGAGAGCTCGGAGGGAGCCGCAGCTTTGGGAATGCTTCGGGATGAGCCGGATCCAGCCGCAGCCTCCGCCTCCCCGGCCGCCGGCTCCCCCGTGGCCGCGCGCGCGGGAACTCGGGCTGCTATTTCCAGCACTGCCAAGGAGCTGTTTCGCTTGGACACCGTTTCAAAGCCTCGCTGGAGGATAGCGCCTTTTTCCTTATGTACAAGCATACGTGCACTTGGCAGCTTAAGAGAGCAAAGCAGCGCATTGCAATTGCTAAAAATCTCTGTCATGTTTGTGGTGAGATAAACAATCCACTGGTTTATTGAAAATGCCCCTAAGCCGGGTTCATTAGCGCACAGGGCCCCAGTTCAGCAATCCTGGGTGCAAGGGAAGCGACGGCGAGGAAGGAGGAGGCGCTGGATGCAGAGCGGCTCTGCCCGCTGTAACCCTGCAGCGGGGCGAGAGCTTCAGCTGGGGTAAATCACAGCAGCCCCGGCCTCCACGTGGCTGCGCCAATTTACGTCAGCTGAGGATCTGGCCCAGCTCCGTGAAAGTCACATCCAAAACCCCCCTGTTTTCCTGTCAGGGAAATGTCAACATTTACTTCTCAGCTTATCGCGCCGTGCGGAGGCTGAGCGAGCCTCTACCCCGCTCCGCGGGAAAGGGCAGGAGCACAGAGCGGCACCGCAGCGACAGCTCTGCCCCTGCTCTTTAGGGAAGCACGATTCCCCCAGCAGGGCTACTGGTTTTTACGGGCTTTGATTTGCAAAGCTGCCTTCTGATAAAGCTCTGTCCCCAAGGTGGAGGCATCTCCCCATCTCCATCCGCTCTTGGCTGGGGAAGAGGGGGGTGTCCGGGCAGATGCTCCAAAGCAGGGAACCCGGCTCCCCCCTGTGCCGCCCCTTGGACCCCCCAGAGCCCGGGCAGCCCCCCCATGCAGGGAGAAATCCGAGCCGGAGCCGGTGAGTGCTCCAAGGAGGGAGGTAAGAGCGTGTGCCAGGCGCCGGAGCCAGCAGTTTCGTAAGGCGGGCCCGGCTCCGGCGCACACGCGCCAGCTCCGGCGCCAGGCCCGGCTTTCCACATGTTGGGAGCCGGCTGCAGTTGCCGGTGCAGTGAACGCTTCCATATGATTCCTCGTGGAGGCCTCAAAAGAACATCTGATCCCAGCAGAGGCTTCCAAGAACGGAGCAGCGAGTATAAAACCTTTAACCGAAACTCTCGGCACCACGGTATGTAACAGAAAAATATAAATAGGAGCCGTTGCCAAAATGCAACCCAGAAGCGGGAAAAAGTGAGGAACGGTCTCAGCAGGACAGGGGCAGCACCAGCCCCACAGTCCCAGCGTTCGTGTCCTCTACGGGCCTGGCAGAAGCTTTCTGACAAAGTCGATGACAAGGGACGCTGGCTGCACAGTGTCGTACTCCGCAAACAGGTGACAGAGGTTCTCCGAATCTGTTTGGCTTTTGGCCACAAACCCAAAGATTCTTTAAAAAATAAAAAGAAGAGAGAGTCTAGCTTAGCTTGCCCTCAGGAATCCAGAGGAATATGCTTGAACTAGCCCAGCCACGGAGCAGAATCCCAGCCCCGGCGCTGCCTTGGCCCGCTCCCCAATCACGTTTGCTTGGAAGGAAAACAATTGGGACAAGGATTTCTGGCAAGACCTCCCCAGCTGTGAAAAGTTTCTTGAACGTAAGGTAGAGCCAGATCTCGGCTCCCTTCCCGGGGCCAGAGCAAACAGGCAGCAGGTTATGGGATTCACACGGCGCCCGCGCGGTTCCCGCCGTCCCGCGCGCGGCTGGAGCCCCCGAGCGCGGCTTACCTGGAGGCCCGGCAGTACTTCTGCCACCTGAAGGAAGAGCAGGGCAGGATTAGCTCACAACAGTGACACTCATGCAATGAGCCGCAAAGTCAGGGCTTCTGCTCAGCCAAAACCCCACGGGTTCAGGCAGGGCGACAACGTGGGAGAGGGGGGCAGAGGTGGGTGCTCAGCCCAGGACCCCGTGGGCTCCGCGGGCTCAGCCTGGTGGGGACAGCACGAGGACCGGCACCGCTCACCAGCGCAAACCCCCCGGCTCCCCAACTCACTTTCTGTTCTCCGGATCCATCCCGCAGAACCTGATGGAAGCCAGGGGATAATGTCTCCTGAAAAACACCCTGTTGGGAAGCGGAGGAGAACGGCATTAGTGACGTGCTTGGCAAGGCCGGGGGACTCATGCCCTTTACTGTCAAAACAACAGGTCGAGTGACTTATGACATGGGTTTGTCCTGGCAGGCCACTTTTTTCTTGATAAGCTGCAAATCAGCAAGTTGGCAGAATAACGGGCAAGAAGGAAGCTGGGCTCATAGCTGAGGATTGAGGAGCGAGCTGCAGCTTCACCAGGCCTTTAACATCCCTCCTGTTCCTTCCCGCCAGGAGCTTGTCCCATCGGAGCCCCGCGTGCCCAGGGCCCTCCTTACTTCCTCTGGATGTCGGTGAGCGTGATTCCCTGCTCGGACGCCTTGAAGTGCACGAGGGTGGGTGTGGGCAGCGTCTCCAGCTCGAAGGTGCTCGACACCGCCTTCTGGATGGCCGGGGCCGCCGTGAGCGTCTCCACCGTCACCGAGTTGAGGTACAGGACGTTGCACACTGCAGGGACAGCACAGGGACAGCTCAGTGGCACGAGCGCCGGGCACACGCACAACACCCTGCGCAAGAGCACCGGGTATCACCGTGCGGAGCTGGACACATTTCCGGAGGGTCAGATACAAACTAGAGCTTTAGTGACGCAGAAATACTTTACAAATTTATTTTGGTTTACTTTAATTCTCTGCACTAATTGTTTTAAAAGTCAAAGTTTTAATTTCCGGTTTCTGAATGTTGCATTTGGATTTTTTTTTGTTTGTTTATTACATATTTCCTTTAATGAAAAGCAGAAATGCCCCAAGCTGACTAACTGTTCAAGTCCAATCTAAAACATGACATTTCAGTCTGACTGCAATGTTTAAAGGACTGTTCTAGGTCAAACTAAACTTTGCAGCTTGCCAGCTTATTCTTCAGAATTTCCAGCAAAATTTAGCTGTTTTGGTTCCCACAACTACGCCGTGACCTGTCAGCGCTGCCTCCTCCCCATCACTCCGTTCTCACCTGGAGCTGCCTGGTGACTGGACACCAAGGTGCAGAAGGGAAGCAGAGACCTTCTCCCCTTCCTGCAATTCCTAAGCATCTCCCACAAGACCCCAGCGCAGGGCAGCTAAACCTCGCAGAGCTTTGGGGTCTTTTATGAGGCTTGGGAACTCCAGAACTCTCTTTTCAAGGCTGGAGCTCAAGTTTGGGACAATTCAGCTGTCGTTTGGGCAAAGGGCCCCAATCCTTTCTCACCAGCAGTTTTCTGCAGTAGAGACCCCGCGGATTCTGGAGCCCAGTCGGGGCTATTCTCCCCATCGGCAAGATCTGCAAAAGCAACGAAGAGCAGCGCTGGTGTCCACAGGGAAATTCCTTACGCAAGGGATAGGAGCACAACTCGCAGGGTGTTAGAGCAGTAATTCATTTAGTTCTCCATCCCCCTCTTCCGTGGCTCTCCTGGCTTGGTTTCTCTCCGATGTCCCCGCTCCTCCTCTCCCAGCAGCCTTCATCCCCGATGTTCCCACCTGGCCACGCTCCATCCCAGCGAAAGCAAACGGGGACCCCGGTTCCCTGCTCCGGCTGCAGCCGGAACAACCAGCCCTGCTT